TATATATATATGGAAAAGAATGTCAGTAAGAACAAAAATAATAATTGTGGAAATTGATTCTGCCTTATTCTGGGTGTCTCCAAGTCTTAATGATATTTGGAGAAAAATGCTCTCCCTTGGGATGAGGTGGGTCAGGTATTCTTCATATCTGTGTGTTGATCTTCCACTATCAAACCACTCCAGCAGCTCTCTAATTCCTTTTTCAAAGTGACATTTTGAAATTGACAGAACAATTGTCCTCCTCCTTCTTTCAGAAATGAAGCGATTTAAACTGTGCATGGTGGCGCATGCCTGTTATCCCAGCAACTTGGGAGGCTGCAGCAGTAGGATCACAAGATTGAGGGTAGCCTCAGCAGCATAGTTAGGACCCATCTCAAAATATAAAGGGCTAGGGGTGTGGCTCAGTGGTTGTTTACCCCCAGCTTCAATCCCAAGTTACAAGAAGAAGAAAAGAAGAAGGAGGAGAAGGAGGAGGAAGAGGAGGAAGAGGAGGAGGAGGAAGAGGAGGCGGGGGCAAGCAACTTAAGTACAAAGAGGTCAAAGCCATACTTACTTACACAATTATTACATAACTGAGTTGAAAACAAAAGTCAAAATCCTTGACCTGCAGCCCAGGTTTCTACTATACAATTCTACCTGACTACAGAATCGGACAGATCTAAGCCCATTTGCTGAGAGAACTATCATGGGAGTAAGTCCTCCTTAAATAAGCCTAAACATGAGTTTCTGTTGTGATAGCTTCAATTTACTCATGCTTGCACACAAACAGTATACCAAGTCAGAAGCCTACTGTGCAAGACAAGTTGAATCAATTCAGGTGAAGTTTTACAAATATGACTCAATCTACTAGTAGATCAGAGATAAATAAAATATAACAAGCTTACTGACTTGGGATTCATGCTGACTTTCAGCTCACCTGAAGTGGGGAGGAATTTCAAACCTAAATTGGCTTTTACTTCTTGAACCACAGTGCTTTACTAATAAAGGTGGCGGCAAGCAGTCACCTACTTGGATTTGTTCCTATGTCTGTTCACATAGCCATGGTCTGTGAATGTGTCCTGCATATACAGGGATACCTCAGAAAGCTTCAAACAAAACCAGTGATTTTAAGAAGGGTAGACACTGAAACTGTTTGACATAAATCAGGGAGAAGTGTCTTTGGATTAACTAGCCTGAGAAACAATGTTGACAAAAATAAATAAGCCCCCTAGCCAGTTTTTGTCAATTTGGTTGTCATTCATTTTGAAAGCTAGAGGACTCATCTCTTTGTACTGTTTAAACATCATGACAATCTCTATTTACTAAATGGGAAAAACATAATTAATTCCTAAGTGCAGCTTCTCATCTTTATGGCACTTTAACCCTGCTTCTAGCAGAATTGCCTATGCAAAAGAGGTACATTGTTTGGCAATGGTTTTGTTTATGAATCTGCAGTTTCCTCCTTTGGGAAATGATAATGATGATTATACTTTGCTGAAATGTTACAAGTGAAAGACAAACTAGGCAGCACAAGCAAATAATGGTAGGTGGTATCTGAAATAAAATACCTAATATTGGAGACATTTCTTTGATTAAGGGTCTATCAGTTGTCAGTGTGGGGTCAAACTTGATCATCTAACTGAATCCGATTCAAAAGTAAGATGCCATGATATCTTATGCTATTTGTTATCTACATAGAACAGGAAAAGAGAAAGAGCTCATTTGTATATAGTTTAAGTTAAAATTCTGTCACAATTTTAAAAAGGGAAAACACAGCACCCTACAGTCAGTCAGATATGGGTATTTTTGTGTCAAGCCAGGGCACTCTCATTTAAAAGAAAAAAAAAAACCATGGAGAAAAAGAAAGAGCTAATCTTTGAAAATGTTCTAGGTAATGGGCACTTTATGTAATTATCACATATTATTGTCACAGCAACCCTGAAAACAGGAATTATTATCTGCACATTACAATTAAAATTGACGTTCTACAAACCCCAATCTCTTGCCATATGCACACAACAAGCAAGAGAGCTTGCCGAATTCCTACTCATTTTGGCTCTAAAATCCATACTCTTTCTTCTTATACTATGGGACCATTATAATTTTACAATAGTTTGTACAGGGATGGGTGGTTATTTAAATAAAGAGGCTTGCATTTTTTATTACAAACAACATACTAATAAGACATAAACTAGTTAATTAAGTTATGAAGGAAAATATTTTACAAACCACTTTCTAAACATGAGTACCCTGGAATTGTATCTTTTTGGATTCCTACTATCTGAGCCATTATAAAGGTGACTTTACATTTTAGTATAGCATGTCTCAACCTTGGAGTCATTATTTATTACATATTCTGGCAGAATTGTAAAGGAAACATCAATGATCTGATTTTTTTTTCTAAGACAAATTATTTGTGATATTTAAAATTTTAAAGGGCTCATGAACGTCTTTCAGAAAACCAATGCTTATTTTGATCTTGTATTTGAAGGAACAGACCTAGAGATTTTTCCCCCCTTGTACTGGAGATTGAACTCAGGGGTACTTAACCACTGAGCCACTTCCTCCGTCATTATTTATTTATTTTTGTATTTTATTTAGAGACACTGAGTTGCTTAGGGCCTTGCTAAGTTATTGAGGCTGGCTTTGAACTCTTGATCTTCCTGCCTCAGCCTCCCAAGCCTCTGGGATTACAGGCATGTGCCACCACATCTGGCTAAATGTAGAGGTTTTAAAATTCACTTTTTGTTTGTTTGTTTGTTTGTTTGGGGTGTGTGTGTGTGTGTGTGTGTGTGTGTGTGTGTGTGTCTGTTTTGCAGAACAAATTATAGGAATTCATTAAAGCAAAGCAAAACAAAGCTCCCGTAGCTGTGAGGGATATCAAAAAGATTGATGGGGAGCTGCTACTGTCTACGGGTTCATGTGGTACAGTTGAAGATGACTGTTAATCTCATTGGCTACCAGTTAGAGGAAGAGAGCTTCTATCTAGCCCAGTACCAGGTAAGACACCCAGTATCTTCAGACAACCATGCAACCTCTGTCCAATCAAGATATTGCTCACAATTTATTTCCTTTTTTAAAAGAAGTTGTAGCTCCAGATGATGCAAGCCCCAGTTTTGGTAAGATGTTATTTGTAAGCTTCCCACAAAGACTTTGTTATTTGTGTTGGCCTGATCAAGGAAGTTGCCTCAAGCCCCTTCACTTTTCTTGCATATGCATGTTTGCCCCAAGGTAAATGTGGGGACTTGGAAGGTGCAGTTCCTGATTTTACCTGAAGATGGCATCCATCCCAAAGTTGTATGTGATTTGTATGAGAACTCTCTTCAAATTCACAAGCACTGTCATAAAATCCTTTCTACTGACTGGAAAATTTGTGCCATGTATGGCAAATGACTCTTCTTTAAGTGCTAACATGCTGACATGTTCTTCAGATGGTTGAAGATACACCTCTTCTTGGGCTGTGCTGATTCTCAAGCCATTTCCCTAAGGAGGGTAAAAAGTATATCAAGATAAGATTGATAATCAGGCAAAAAAAAGTAAAACAAAAAAAAAATCTGTATTTGGATTATTTATCCTACAGATTATTATCAGTAGGTTTTGAATTTCAGGTTGGCTTTCCTTGTTGTTCCATGCATTTTCAGAACACATGAATTTAAATATTCGCTTTCACCAGATGCACTGCAAAGTATAAGCGTCTTGGTTTTGTATGATCCCACTTCCCTCATGAACTAAAATAACAGATAGCTGGCAAGGCCTAAGCATGCATGTGATTATAGGCACCCTGATTTTACACATGAACACAAAAATTATATATTTCAAAAATATTAGTTGATGGTAAATACAATAGAGAAGGAAGCTTTACTTAATTAAGCTATTTGTGTAAAGGACTTCTTTGTACATAAGTAAAACAAATAAAAAAGGTCTATATATAATGATTACAGTAGGAGACTGGCATCATAATAAGGAATATAGATTGACCTTGAACATTAAGGTTGTCCTTGTATTAGTTCATTTATATTAATGACACGTAACTTCTTAATATCTATCTAACTAAAATTCAGACCACTTCATCAATTCTGAAAAATATTCATTTAGAGGAAAAAAAATCTGTCATTCTGTCATTGATCCACATGTTTGAAATGTTTAAGGGAAAGAATAACAGAGGCTGTTTACTAACAGGAGCTAACGGGACTTCTACCTTTCGGAATCATCAATGGGAATGCATGTGCATGCCTTTGAGTATGTGTGACTATGGGGCAAGGGTAGACATAACTGAAAAGGGAAGAGAAAGGGAAGGGAGCACTTCTAGGATTACTCTTGGTTTCCAGAATTTAGGAATTGACTACAAACATCCAAACCCTGAAAGCAGTTTCTCCTATGTTTCATACCTAAATTGGGATTTCAAAGTCAAGCTTTAACTGTAGCCTATAGCTAAATGAACTGGTTTCATTTTTTTTTTCACTTATTTATGACTGATATAAACAAGGAAATAGTAAAATCTATGTGGAAGCAAGGGGAGATGGAAAATTTATATAAACTATATAAATCAGCTTTCACCTAAACACTGTCATCATACTTATAGTCACAGAAACATGATCATCATACTCTAAATTTATAAGTCGGGTCCAAAGTTTTCCATTATTATTAGAACCCAGTGAATATATTTAGTTTTCTAGATATGTCCTCAGAGTGAGACATAGGAATTACATCCCCCCCAAAAAAATTTCTAAGTTTGTTTTTTCTTTAGAATTATGTAAATTAATTTCAAACCAACCAGGTAAAAAGAGCCTGAGTAACCTGAAATGACATATGGTGTTCTAGGGTTACAAAGCAATGTGCTTAGTACACTACCTCTAAGAGGACCATCAGCTGGAGAACATACTCTGTATCTTCTTCCGCTTCCTCGAGGTCATATGAGATGATAAATGTCAACTGTCCTCCTACGGCTGGGAGCTACAAGAGAGGAGATGCTTAATTATTATGGCACAGGAGATAGGCTATTAAATCTTATTTTATTTATTATTTTTAAATAATTTTATTTTTCTATAGGGCAGTATTTGGAAGAAGCAGAAATCACCAGAGAACAGAGTGTCGATGACAGACATTTCTTTAGGAGTAATCTTTAAACGAAACCTTACCCATCAACTATAAGCCTGACATAAATATAAATTCATGTACTGTTTCCCCCAGTGTGGCAGGATTGCTGAACAGGTTAAGTTCCATGAAACCAAACACAGCCCTTTCTGTCATCTTCTCGGTCTATAGTATGAGCTTTTTAATTCCCAAACAAATAAGGATCATTGTCAAAATTAGAAGATTTCTATCCATTTTCTATCCACTGTCTTTGGGTCTTATGCAGCCAATGAGGATCTCTCTCCATTTGAAGGGCATTTTACAAAGACCAAAAGCTAGATGAGCTTTTGTTGTTGGTCAAAGGAAAATAAAAAATTAGCACACGGGATGGGGTTGTAGCTCAGTGGTAGAGTGCTTGCCTAGCATGTGTGAGGCACTGGGTTAGATTCTCAGCACCACATATAAATAAAATAAAGGTACATTGAGAACTAAAAAAATAGAAATAAAATAAAATAAAAAGATTAGCACCAAAATTTATATTAAAATGCAATCAAAATTGCCTAAGAAGGTATACTTACCCCTGTCAAACAAATAAGCTTAGTTTGAATGAAGGATATTATTCCCTTTTCATTAAACAAATTTATTTCCTTCTAACATGCAAGCCAAACCTCCTACAATAAGTGCTGGAGGTTTATATTTTCTGTCATTGAGAGTAACCTTGCAGAAACTTAGAAAAAAAAAAAGGAATGCAATATCATTTATAGGACAGGAATCAAAATTGGAGCTGTGAGTGACAGATTCAATGCTAATGCTGCACTTCTTATTTTAAAAATTCTACTCTAGCCTTGTAAATAAAGACATTCATAAAACAAAGTTGATGATTTGTATTCTGCTGTTTGCTCTTTGCTGACATGCAGAGACCCAGCTTTGCAGCCCTTGGCTCTCTGTGGCCCTTCATGGCAGACTCTGACCAGAAAGCAATTCCTGGACAGGCACTGGATAGAGGAGGAGGAGTCCTGATTCCTTTCAGAGTTGTTCCATTGGGACTGCACATAGCTTGCTATGGCTGATTAAACAGGATTTTAAATTGTAGCTCTGCACTGTCTTCTAAGAACTCATTACGTGGTGTTCTAGAAGGAACAGAATTTCTGAAAACTTTTATTTCCCTACTCCACTGAGAAATAGTCCCACTTTAATGTCTTTTCACATATAAAATAATAAATATCTGCCTGGACTATAGCACTTGGCATTATTGTGAGTAATGAGGGGTGAATATATATAAAAGGCTTTGGGTTCTATTAAAAAAGCATCCAAAATTTTACAGAGCATGCTTGTTCAAATCAGCCAGACATTTTCTCAAAAAGAGGAATCCAAAAAGGCAGCAGAAAAAGAAAATGTTTTATATTTTTCAAAGAGGACCGGACTATTTAGAATTTTCTAAAGTAATTAAATTATTAAGTCAAAGGTAGACATTGTTTGGGAAGAACATTAAAATATAGGTCTGTAACACTCCAAAATATTTTGGGCTTCCAAACATATTTTGATTATTTAAAATTTGCATTACATTATTTTTATTGAATATGCTTATCTAAAATTTAAAAATTATATTAAGATTCCTACAGAAAACCAAAGATAAAGAATTTTGAATTAAAGGTAATATTTTATTTTGCTAATAAAAGCCAAAATATATATAATTTGAACATTCAGTTTTAAGACTATATATGAAACAAAAAAGTTCACTTATACTATTTGATTTTTAATATACTTTCTATACCTACTTGAAATATTTATAAAGTCTTATAACACATATATAATATGAGAGAGGAAAGGAAAGGAGAAATGGGGAAAAGAACTAAATAAATATATAAGAAAAGAAATGTCTCATGCAGGTCAGTGATAATGTAAAATACAAGTAAGAAGTAGGCCCTCTATTCACTCTAATATTAATGAAAAATTATGCTTTCACTCATACTTTATAAACCCATGTATTGCAAATTCTTTCAGGCATTTTGATAGTCATATTTTGGAATTAATAGAACATTTTTTGAATCACCTAAAATTTTTCACAAGTTAATCCAATTTACGTCCTGCTAAATTTTGTGAAAGACAGATTGTTTTAAACATTTGTATGGTACTGTTACCAGATACTCTTCCCCATGATAAAAGTACCAATTTGTAGAGTATTAGAATCATCATCTTTTTCCTTAACTCTAAAGGTGCATATTTATAATCATATCTGCATTAACTACTTAGCCAAATACTGATTTCAGTAATTTTTAGAAAGGATGGCTTAAGATATTATCCTACAAATTAGAGATTGTATCCCTAGGAATAGCTCATTCTCAAAGTTTGTTGTTGTTGTTTGTTTTAGTTTTCCTACAAATCTGTAAGAAGTGACATCAAGCATTTCCTAATGTTGCCACTGAATGTGTTTCCTTCAAAGAGTACATACTATTGTGTGGGACACTATAATGAGTCAATTTTAAGAAAACATCTTCTCTTCTGAGGAATATTGATTTTTGGTGGGAAAGCTCTGGGAATATTCAGTCTATGTTGTCCTTTCCTATACCTTTGAATGAAGTCTGTTCTCCATTTCTCCATTCCTCCATATTCCAGATGTCACCTTTGTTAGACTGATCCTTTCCCTTGATTCCACAATCTCTTATAGACCTTTCAGTATCCTAACCCTCACTCTCTTCATCAAATTAAATGTGCACCAGAGTGCAGATCATCAGTTAGCTTCAATTTCTCTTCTAGCAATTATCCATACTTATTTATTACTTTATTGTCAAACTTGGACACACGAAGTATGGCACTATTTTTTTTTTTATTTTCTATCTATCCATCCTTTCTTATTTCATCTCCTGAATCCAGCTGTCCATTTCAATGGAGTAGTGCTCCATTGAAAGAGTGTCTTGATATGCCATTTATAAACTATATAGCAACAATTAATGACCACTTTTAAAATTTTATTTGTAACTGACATCATATTTGTGCATTTTTGTGGGGTACAATGTGAGGTTTTGATAAATGCAAACATCAGTCAGTCATCAAAGCATACTCATTATCTCATACATCTATCATCTCTTTGTGGTAAGAACATTTATATTCCCTCTTCTAGCTATTTTGAAATAATCAGAGCAATATTGTTAACGATAGTTACCCTATCATGCAACAGAACACCAGAGCCCACTCCAGTGGGTAACTGTGTACTCATTGGTCAATTTATCACTGTTCCTTTCTCTTTCCTCCTCTTTACAGACTCTGGTAACAACAATCTACTAACTATATGACATCAGCTCCTTTAAATTTTACACGAATGCTATCATGTATTATTTATCTTTCTGTGCCTGGCTTATTTTACTTAAAAAAATGTCCTCTAGATTTATCCATGTTGCTGGAAATGATGGGATTTCATTTTATAAATGGCTGAATTGTATTCCATTGTGTATATGCATCATGTTACCCATTCATTTTTGATGAATACTTAGGTTGATTCCAAATCTTGGCTATTGAGGATAGTGCTGCAATAAACATAAGAGTGAAGATATCTTTTTACATAGAGTGATTTCATTTCCTTTAGATATATATACCCAATGGTGGGATTGCTATATCATCTGGTAGTTCCATATTTAATGATTTGCATAATATACTTACTGTTTTCCATAATATCTCCACTAATTTACATTACCACTAACAGTGTATCAGAGTTTTTCTTTTTGTGCAGCCACTATTGTATTTATTATTATTTTTTGTTTGTTTTTTTTGACAGCAGCAATTCTAGTTGGGATAAAGCAATGTCTCATTGTGATTTTTCATTTGTATTTCCTGCTGATGAATGATGTTGAACATTTTTTTACATACTTGTCCATATGTCTTCTTTTAGGAAATAACCTATTCAGGTCTTTTGTCCATTTTTAATGGATTATTTGGAGGGTTTGTCTGTTAGTTTTTTTGTTTGTGTTTGTTTGTTTGGTCTTATACTATTGAGTTGTTTGAGTTTCTTATACACTTTGGACATTGATAGTTTGACAGATGCATAGTTGCAAATGTTTTCTGCCATTCTGTAGGTTATCTCTTGACTGATTCATTTCCTGTACAGAAAATTCATACTTTGGTGTAATATCATTTGTCAATTTTTGCTTTGTTTGCTTTGAGGTCTTATCCAAACACATCCTTGCCTGACCAATGTCAGAGAATATTTTCTAGTCGTTTTACCATTTCTGGACTTAAATTGTTTGATATATTTTAAGTTGATGTTTGTTGGGTGGTAAGACAGAGGGGCCTAACTTCATTCTTTTGCATATGGTTATATGGTTTTCCTAGCACCAGTTGTTGAAGATATTGTCGTTTCTCTCTCCATTGTGAATTCTTAGCACCTTTTTCAAAAAATGATTTGGCTGATCATAAGTATGTAAAAACTACCTTTGTCTTTTCCATTCAGTTACATTGGTCTATATTTATGTTAGTATCATGCTGTTTTAGTTACTACAGTTGAGTACTATATTTTGAGGTATTAATCCTTTTGTTTAATTCTATTCTTAATCTTATATGACATGTAATAGTTCTTAAGATTTTTTTATTCCTTTGTCATCCATTACACTCATATTATTTTCCTTGTGTTGGACACAGCTATGCCTTATTTAAATACATTTTAAAAAAATTATTCTATACTCAGTGAGTGACTGTAAGACTCTTTTTCATTGTCCTTTTGTTGTCATTTCATATGGACTCCTCTCTCATGGACTGAACTACAACTAACCTAGTTCCTCAATCGACGTCTTTTGGCCTAGGCTTTGTCCCTGTATTAATCTGCTCAAGCCACTATAATAAAGTATCAGAAACCAAGTAGCTTAAATAACAAAAATTTATTTTCATAA